ACACCTACAACCACTACTACACCTACAACCACCACCACTACACCTACAACCACCACTACACCTACAACAACCACACCTACAACCACCACCACTACAATTACAACAACCACTACACCTACAACCACCACTACACCTACAACAACCACCACTACACCTACAACAACCACTACTACACCTACAACTACCACTAAACCTACAACCACCACTACACCTACAACTACCACTAAACCTACAACCACCACTACACCTACAACAACCACTATTACAACAACCACTACTACACCTACAACAACCACTCAACCAACAACAACCACCACTACTCCTACAACAACCACTACACCTACAACCACTACACCTACAACAACAACCACTAAACCAACTTCAACCACCACTCCCATACCAATATTACCTACATTCACTTATACAACTGAAAACTCCAACATACCAGTTAAAACAACAACATCAAAAACTTCTTCAACAGAACTTAAACCATTCGAAACCAAGACAACCAAGAGTTTAAAGACTACAAATCCCATCAAGAAATCCACAACCCCAATAAAGCCAACCTGGAAACAACCGCAAGGCACCAAAACTGCAACCCAGCCTACCACTTCAACTGAAAGTAATGGAATTGGTATCTTTGAGTGGAAAAAGCAGATGGAGACAATGCCACGGGAGCAGAGATTAACTTCTGGTGATTAGATTTACATAGCATTTTGGTTTTCAGATACCAAATTAAAAAAATTATGGAACATGCTGTGTACAACCAATATGAAAAACTTTTTAAAAAGCAAGCTTACAACATGTGGGATACAATTTTAATATATATAATTTTTGTTTAATTTCAGGTGCAATAATTGGCACTTGTGTGGTTTTTGTGATTCTCATCCTGGTGGGAGTGGTTATCTTTCTGGCAAGAAGGTACTGAGGGTTTCACTGTTACACTAAGAAAGTTAAAATTAAGAAATGCCAAGTTCTGCAATGCTGCAACTGAAGTAGAATGCTGGGGGGTGGTTGAAATGATCACAATTTTAAAGCGCTTTCCATTCTGTCATAATAATCAAAGGGTTTGGAATGTTTGTTGTTGAGCTGATAGTGTTCACCTTGATTTGTTCCAGGGGATGCCTTCATAAACAAGTTGATCCCGTGAAAAATGGAGGCACAGTTATGTACTTTAATGCAACCAGTGGAGCAGTGGAAATGCAAAATCAGACAAAAAAGCAGGCTGAAGCTGCAACAATGAATAATCTACAGTCAAGGAAGGAAAAAATTCAAAATCAGAAAAACCACCAAGCAGAAGCTGCCAGAAATGGGTGTCATCAATCTTTTGGGTCCATGCCAAGGGCATACAACAATACACTATATGGGGTTGTTGGGAACCAGTGGACAACCATTGAGGGGAACACATTCAAAACACCCAAGGGGCACACCCTAGTACATAAGGAGCCAATCTATGAGACAATTAAACCTCGAAACATTCCTAACGTCACCGGCAACTTAAAGAGCAGCTTGCCAAAAGAGAGCTTGCAAACCTATGTTCATTATCCATGTGATAAAGTAGACAACCTAAAGACTGTCAAATATTGAGGGCCAGGACATTGACTGGATGAGCCAGAATGCCTGTTTTACAGGAATCATTTGAGACAGCCCAATGTCTTGTGACTTAATGTAAAATCAAGGGAAAATTTCACTGGATTTGGGGAAGAGTGAGTCAGAAATAATGGCAGACTAGGAATGCACTGTGGCAACATGTAAAAGCTGTAGCTGACAGAATTTGGATTATTTTCTGGAAATTTTTCTTGAGTTCTGTAGAATTACAGTCTGTCTCACAACAGTATAAATTCAAAATGTATTGTGTTTAAGTTTTACACTCCTTTCTTAGCCAATATTCACTTATCAAAAAGTGAGCCCTGTCTCACTCCAGCATATGATAGCACTCCATGCTTATAACCCTATGTGGGACAGTTTTCACTCAGATTACTTGTTTAATCATCAATTATAAATACTTTTAAGGGTTTTCATAATATCTGACAGCTTCAATTGTAAATAATGCTCAATATGAATATTACTTTTGAATTATTTTATATGATGCAATATTTTAAACTATAAATGGACTTGAATTGCTTTTTGCAGGTATATGGTTGCCAGTGACGAATCCTATTTTTTTACACAAAAAACGTTGTAAGTTTATCATACTATATTATAATAAACTAAATAAATTAAACAATATATATATAAACAAATATAACCTTTATTAATTATTTTTATAACTTACTTAATGCACATTGAAAGTTTTGTTAGAAGAAACACACTTCTTTTATTATTCAAAACAATTAGATTAAAAAGCTGTAAGCAAAAAATCTTAACCTTTAAATAATCTTATTTGAAATGAACTGTTCTGGACATCAATGTATCTTCTATTAAAAATGTCATATGCTCAAATCTACAAAACTATAAAAATACATATGAAAATTATTTCTCATGCTTTCTATTTAAAACTTCCGTTTAATCAACTAATGATTAAAAAGTTTTATGTTAATAATTTAAAAACCTTTTTATGGGAGTTAAATATGCTACTGTGACATTTCATTTTGTCTTGGGTAACTATAAAGTAAATACACAATTTTATATAATTGCATTTATATAATTGAAACTCTTGTCATGAAATTCTACCAATGTTCTAACAAAAAATTTAAACAGTAAAAAGGTGCTACATTTAATATCTGCTCACATTCAGAGTGTTTCAAAATTTACATTAAACGCATGACCTTTGGTTGAAGAAAAAATTTGATAACAATTATACAAAGATAATCTCTCAGGTGCAAAAATTCAATAAAAAGAACATTATTTACTCTACTTCCAATTATCCAATGTATTAATAATTATAATATCATCCATACTCTAGGAGAGCAGAAATTATTTACAGTTTATCAGTGCACTGGTGAAACCATGTGTAGCACTTTAGAACAACTGTTGTCATTATAATAGTTATGATGTCTGCTCAGATATTTTAGTGAAGTGGTATCCTAAGCACCCTTATAAACTTCAAGCACTATTATGCTGCAACTAATGTTATTTTCTCATCAAACACAAAAATATATGTCCACTTCTCATTTGAAAAAATCTCATTTTTAAAAATATTCCTGACATTTGTTGCACATTCCTCATGAGGCAGGGCTGATAGACATTTTCATTCACTGAAAATTATTCCTGTAGTCCCTTTTTTCTTTAGTATTGCATACTTAATTGCATCTTCTGAAAAAGAATAAGAAAATTTTGACTGAAAACTTCTGAAGGTCAATTGTCAACAAAAATCAGCTCCTCTATTATTAAACGGGAGAAAACATATTAGCCTAAGCTCACAAAAAAAGGATACATGAAAATAAAGTGGACTGCAAGCATACCAACACCCACGTATTATTTAAAATTCATTTAAAAACTTGGCATCTTCCAAATAAACAGCAGTAAAAAATATCCAAATTTCACCATCAAAAGCCATAAGTAATTTGTAACTTCAACTTTAAAGTTAATACATACGTATAACAAGACAGTTGGACACACACTCTGAGATGAAAGCTGAAACCTTGGCTGGCTGGTAAGTCAGCTAAGGTCTCACAGTGTGTGCTGGCCTTTCACACCTTAGCGACCATTCCCAGTCCCTATTGTACTAACTGTGGATCGATGTATCTCTGAGGGGATTATATCTAAATTGCAATTAACTTAAGCTACTTAGATGTCTGTCATGCCTACTGAAGCTGCTAGGGTGTAATCAATTATCATTTATCAGCTTCAGTAGGCGTGCCAGACATCTAAGCTCCTTAAGCTGAAAGTAATTTAGTGAGAAACCCCTTGGAGTTGGATCGATCTTGTTCGATCAATCTTGGTATGGGAACCCAGCCTAACTTACTGGAATGTGGCAAGAGATAGGAGTTGTCTAGGCTGTCCCTGGGTCAGAG